GACGTGGACAGTAAGGTGGGAGGTGCGCTACAATGTCTTTTCTGAAGGGACAGTAGGCTGGGGCTGCTACCTGTCTGTCTGAAGGGACAGTTAGGTCGGGGAGGTGTGCTTGCTACCTGTCTGTTCTGAAGGGACAGTAAGGTGGGAAGTGCTGCTACCTGTCTGTCTGAAGGGACTGTAAGGTGGGAGGTGCTGCTACCTGTCTGTCTGAAGGGACAGTAAGGTGGGAGGTGCTGCTACCCTGTCTGTCTGAAGAGACAGTAAGGTGGGAGGTGCTGCTACCTGTCTGTCTGAAGGGACAGTAAGGTGGGAGGTGCTGCTACCTGTCTGTCTGAAGGGACAGTAAGGTGGGAGGTGCTGCTACCTGTCTGTCTGAAGGGACTGTAAGGTGGGAGGTGCTGCTACCTGTCTGTCTGAAGGGACAGTAAGGTGGGAGGTGCTGCTACCTGTCTGTCTGAAGGGACAGTAAGGTGGGAGGTGCTGCTACCTGTCTGTCTGAAGGGACCTGTAAGGTGGGAGGGGCTGCTACCTGTCTGTCTGAAGGGACTGTAAGGTGGGAGGTGCTGCTACCTGTCTGTCTGAAGGGACTGTAAGTTGGGAGGTGCTGCTACCTGTCTGTCTGAAGGGACAGTAAGTGGGAGGGGCTGCTACCTGTCTGTCTGAAGGGACAGTAAGGTGGGAGGGAGTGCTTGCTACCTGTCTGTCTGAAGGGACTGTAAGGTGGGAGGTGCTGCTACCTGTCTGTCTGAAGGGACTGTAAGTTGGGAGGTGCTGCTACCTGTCTGTCTGAAGGGACAGTAAAGTGGGAGGGGCTGCTACCTGTCTGTCTGAAGGGACAGTAAGGTGGGAGGGGCTGCTACCTGTCTGTCTGAAGGGACTGTAAGGTGGGAGGTGCTGCTACCTGTCTGTCTGAAGGGACTGTAAGGTGGGAGGTGCTGCTACTGTCTGTCTGAAGGGACAGTAAGGTGGGAGGTGTGCTGCTACCTGTCTGTCTGAAGGGACAGTAAGGTGGGAGGTGCTGCTACCTGTCTGTCTGAAGGGACAGTAAGGTGGGAGGTTGCTGCTACCTGTCTGTCTGAAGGGACAGTAAGGTGGGAGGTGCTGCTACCTGTCTGTCTGAAGGACAGTAAGGATAGGTGGGAGGTGTGTACCTGTCTGTCTGAAGGAAGGGGGGAGGGGCTGCTACCTGTCTGTCTGAAGGGACAGTAAGGTGGGAGGGGCTGCTACCTGTCTGTCTGAAGGGACAGTAAGGTGGGAGGTGCTGCTACCTGTCTGTCTGAAGGGACAGTAAGGTGGGAGGTGCTGCTACCTGTCTGTCTGAAGGGACAGTAAGGTGGGAGGTGCTGCTACCTGTCTGTCTGAAGGGACAGTAAGGTGGGAGGGGCTGCTACCTGTCTGTCTGAAGGGACAGTAAGGTGGGAGGGGCTGCTACCTGTCTGTCTGAAGGGACAGTAAGGTGGGAGGTGCTGCTACCTGTCTGTCTGAAGGGACAGTAAGGTGGGAAGTGCTGCTACCTGTCTGTCTGAAGGGACTGTAAGGTGGGAGGTGCTGCTACCTGTCTGTCTGAAGGGACAGTAAGGTGGGAGGTGCTGCTACCTGTCTGTCTGAAGGGACAGTAAGGTGGGAGGTGCTGCTACCTGTCTGTCTGAAGGGACAGTAAGGTGGGAAGTGCTGCTACCTGTCTGTCTGATGGGACAGTAAGGTGGGAGGTGCTGCTACCTGTCTGTCTGAAGGGACAGTAAGGTGGGAGGTGCTGCTACCTGTCTGTCTGAAGGGACAGTAAGGTGGGAGGTGCTGCTACCTGTCTGTCTGAAGAGACAGTAAGGTGGGAGGTGCTGCTACCTGTCTGTCTGAAGGGACAGTAAGGTGGGAGGTGCTGCTACCTGTCTGTCTGAAGGGACAGTAAGGTGGGAGGTGCTGCTACCTGTCTGTCTGAAGGGACTGTAAGGTGGGAGGTGCTGCTACCTGTCTGTCTGAAGGGACAGTAAGGTGGGAGGTGCTGCTACCTGTCTGTCTGAAGGGACAGTAAGGTGGGAGGTGCTGCTACCTGTCTGTCTGAAGGGACTGTAAGGTGGGAGGGGCTGCTACCTGTCTGTCTGAAGGGACTGTAAGGTGGGAGGTGCTGCTACCTGTCTGTCTGAAGGGACTGTAAGTTGGGAGGTGCTGCTACCTGTCTGTCTGAAGGGACTGATCCTATCCTGAATCTGGCGACTGGTCTGATCCTGATCACAACAAATGGGATTTCAAAATCTGATGGGATCTGATTGAGATCAGACGTTTTGAGCTCCAGGACCCAGGAGCTCAAAACTTGTAATCCCTATCTGATCAAATCAGATTTGGATTTTGGGGAGTTCAAAACCAACAAACAGGATGAGGATCACTTTGATATCCGATCAGATCAGGAAATCCAATCCAAGCTTTAATCTGGATCAAATCTTCAAAACGAGTTCAAACCGACAACACAGGATTGGGATCAGTTTGATCCCAAAAAACTGGATGATCCTGATCCCACCAGAGGGGTGGATCTCCAGTGGATCACAGAGCAACATGTACTGTACCATTTATTTAAAAATATGTTTAAATTTAAATTAGATGGGAAAATTTGTTAACTGAAATAATACACATTTTTAGCCTTCATGGGAAACACATTTTACTTTTCATTTTTTGCTCACGTTTGTGCCTATTTTGTTTTCAACCAAATGTTGATAACATACATTTTTATGTTCATAAAAGTATCACAACAAAGATTGTCAATCACAAATGTAATTTAGATTAAATTAAAAAATATCTTCAACAAAACAAAAAGTCCATCATCTGTCGTCAGCTTTCAGAAGTAAGTGCAGACAATAGATGTCTCTGCAACGTGGGCTCTTGTCTTCCTTGTATTATTTTTCATGTCCACTAGATGGCGCTCAGTGGGATTAAAGCTCTGATATTCAGGATCTAGTCATTGTTGTGGAAATAATTATCATAAGACGCCAATTAGTAACATACAGCACAAACCTTGATGTCTGTTTACCTTCTTTAAGGACACAGGCTGCTTAGCCAATAATGTTATTGTTCCCATTCTGTGACCGGTCAATACTGGGTCACAGATGGTCTGTGTTGTGGGTACACTGGGACACTTCCTTCTCTGTATTTGTGGACTCCAAGGTAAAATCTTCGAGGTCATAAGTGTCCGAGGCAAGTAGCTCTGTGTTCCCACACTGTTTAGGCTATCTCCTCAAATATGTTGTTTACTCTCTGCGAAACCAGTTAGATGGGCTGGCAAGAGAGAGGCTCTCCAGAATTGACGTGGCAACTCTACCGTGAAGTCAGAACCTCTGACTCTTGGACTTGTGATGTGAATCCTCCGGCCGTTAACTCCAAATAAACCATCATGTGTTTGACATCAAAGCTACTGCTCTTCCCATGTCTCCTTCCTGAGTCGGTGACTCCCACTGCATAGCTACACAGAAGTTTCCGCTACAGTCATCTTGAAAAGTCGTAATCTGGATCAGGCTGATCCTGAATTGCTTTGAACTCCAGGGACAACATTTGGCCGACTTGTTGATCCTGGATCACAACAAATGGGATTTCAAAATCTGATGGGATCTGATTGAGATGAAAAGCTTTGAGCTCTTGGGCCCTGGAGATTGAAAACGCTTTTCTATCGTCCACTGACTCTTGGATTAGCAGCACAAATGCATTTCCTGCAGTTCGGCTAAAAACAAGCTTTAAGTAGTTTGACGCCTCGTTTCTTGGGAGTGGATCAGAAGTGAGAGAGCGTTACAGCGTCGGTCGATTCGAAAACATTTGAATTTAGTCAGAGTAAGGTGGAGCTTTTGATGCCTCCTCATGAGAGCTCTCATTTGGTTGTAACAGTACGTGTCTTGCTTCCTATAAACACTGCATGGAGGCAGTTTGTTGTTGTTGTTTGTTGCAGCAGCAGGATGTCTGCGTGCTCTCATCCACGTAACGCATTTCCAGGCTCGTTACTATGATTAGAATATGAAGCATTAACACGCAGCGTAGCGATGGCTGGATTCTCTCATCATTCTAATTCCTCTTCAGTTCGACATCAGCAGCTTTTTCACAGTCGACTTCTTAGATTCATTTGGATTCACTCAAGAAGTTTCCTCCTGATTCTATAGAACAACATTTAGAGACTACAAATTCAAATGAAGAACGTTCATGCTTTGTGATCAAAATGTCATTCTGTCTTGACCCGTCTCCTTTCACTGCAGCTTCAAAGAGACACCACACACACACACACACACACACACACACACACACACACACACACACACACACACACACACACACACACACACACACACACACACACACACACACACACACACACGTCTAAGCTTCCCTCAAAGTAGGAACCTTTCTTTGGTTGTGTCACGCTGATTTGTGTCCTCCGCAGTCAGCACTTCCTCTCTAGTTGCAGACGGACACTGAGCAGAGAATGGAAGCAGACGGATGGAAACACCTTGATGCGATTGTGCTTCAGAAACTCAAACCTTGTGGCTCAAAAGAAAACACATTCCTCTTGAATTCAGACTTCCATTTGTGAAATAACAAGAATATCTCTTTCTTCTTGTACGTTGTTTTTCTCTCGTGCATCGACTCTTTCCTCTCAGAGAAAGCCGACATGTTTCCAGTAAATGAACGACTTTCTTTCGAAGAGAATTGTTTAAAAATCTCATATTTGTGCAATTTCTCTCTTAATGTGTGATTGACATCAGATCCACGTTTCCTCCACTCTGACCCGCTGTGATCGTGTCTCTCAAACAGCCCTCGTCTTAGTGAGAGCCTTTCTGTGCTCGACACCTGAATCATGTCGAAGTACACAGGTGTGTGTTCTGCACGTAGTTAGCCGATAGCATCCTGATGGCCCGCCTCCTCGCACCCAGAGGTGGCGCTGCGTTGGGTCTCCTCAGAGTTCATGAACACAAAGCATTCTGGGGGATGCAGAGAAACACGTTTTGAATCTGCTTCTCTTTTCTTCACAGTGTGTCGAGGCCAAGAAGTACTGCTGGTATTTTGAAGGCGGATACCCGATCTACTTCATGCAAGTACCTCTCCCACCTTTGGACCCTGCACAGAGGTGCTAGTGTGTGTCAGACTGAAACCATGCATCCTCTGCAGAACCCTCTGGTTTATATTACGGGTTCCAATCAGAATAAATGTTACACAATGTTTAAAAGAAAAACCACAACAAACATTTCTGAAACTGTCTTATGATGATTCGATCTGAATCTAGTTATACAATAACCTGTGTTCTTGATATTGTTCAGTAAGTGTGAGTCAACACTTTTATTGTAATATATATATATATATATATATATTATATCATCTTTGCACACCGCCTTGCAGCGGGCATGTGTGCAGATTTATATTCAAAAAGAAGTTAGCATGATTTAAGACAAAGAACAAAAAGTGTTGATGTTTTGTGTTTAGCAGAACTCCAGAGGCTGCACCACGAAGCCGGATGTTCTCTTAGCGGCTAACTTCAGGGTAACTCTGGGTTTCCGGTCCTTCGAAGCTGGTTCTCTTTTTAGCGGCTAGATCTCCATGGTAACTGATGCTGAGCGGCTAGATCTCCATGGTAACTGATGCTGAGCGGCTAACCTGCTCCGGAGCAGGTTAGGTTGCAGGCTAAGAGATCAACTCAGTGAAAGCACTGCCTGCTGACCAATCAGAGCTCAGTGTGCGGAGTTTAAAGCGATCAAGTCATATTACAGGAGAAAGGAAATACAGAAAAGCTGCCGTCGCAGGAAAGACGGCCGGCAACAATCAGCGACTGTGTGAACGTGAACATGAATAGAATATCAGCTCCATCTTCAGAGCAATCTGACTATTATAACATTAGCGTTAAGAAAGCTTACTGAAATATCTGCCACAACATAAGTAACCGGATCAGAGTCACATTAAGTACAGTCCATATCACTTCATAATGTATCATCTCCTGATCTGAGTCAGCTGAGCCGTATCTGGCCGTGCAACACTCACAGCGTCACAGACTGGATGCAGAAGCATTATTTGAAGCAACACATTAAGTTGAGGAAACACTGGAGTCAAATGTAATGAAAGTCAGATGGTGTCTTAGACGGGCAGTGATATCATAAAGCTGTTAATGTACACATTCAAACACTTGTTCTGTTCCCAGCTGTGTTCACCTTGCAGGTGCAGCTCTGTGGCTTTGATCCTGGATCAAGTGTTTAAGTCCTGGATGTTTAAAGTTTAACTTCTTCATATGTCTAATATTATAGTTGACTTTTCATTCAGGAAGTATGACGCTGCGCTGTCAGTGCGCTTCTCCATGTCTGTGATTGGTCGAATGCTCCAGATACCACCCCTCTCATGTGAACACCTAACTAGATAGGACACGGCTGGCTTGAGCGATCCACTTGATAACCCGCGTTGTAGGACCGCTTAGCGAGAGCGCGTATGTTTTGGATTAGGCCAACCGGCTAACTCAAACATATCCAGGTTAGGTTGAACCGGCTTCGTAGAACAGACTCAGGTCTCATTTCATGATGACTGTTGAAGATATTCTATTCTACGGTGGCCCTGAAGTGCAAGACACCACAGCATTTCTTGTTTGTGATTGGACAGAGCCAGCCAGAGAAGCACTGCTGTGATTGGTTGTTTTTGCTGCCAGTCAAGAAATGACGCTTCGTGATTGGTCAACACCCGACAGCGAACACATAATAATAATAATAATGGGTTCCATTTATAAAGCACTTCATATTTGATTTCAAATCCGAAGTGCTACAAGTAGTGAGCATGAACAGTATAAATAAACATTACACAACACGGTAGAATTCATAAAAAGCAATAAAAAAATAAATAAAAGGGTGATAAAAAGGTCTAGGCAAAGGCTCTTTTGAAGAGATGGGTTTTGAGGCCTTTTTTAAAAGCCTCCACGGTCTGTGGTGCTCTCATGTGGTCTGTGGTGCTCTCATGTGGTCTGTGGTGCTCTCATGTGGTCTGTGGTGCTCTCATGTGGTCTGTGGTGCTCTCATGTGGTCTGTGGTGCTCTCATGTGGTCTGTGGTGCTCTCATGTGGTCGGGGAGAGCGTTCCACAGACTGGGAGCAGCCGAGCAGAAGGCCCAGTCTCCCATAGCACGGAGCTTAGTCCTGGGGGGTTTGAGGAAGTTGGAGTTGCTGGAGCGGGTGGTCCGCAAGGAGGTATGGGGGGTGAGGAGTTCCTTGAGGTAGGGAGGGGCAGTTCCATGGACACACTGGTGGGTGAGGACGGAGACCTTGAATTCGATGCTCAGTTCCACGGGTAGCCAGTGTAGTGCTTTAAGGATGGGGGTGATGTGATCATCAGCTGTTAGCACACCCTCAGAGCTCACAGCTCCTCATGTCTGTTCAGAAACTGGACAAAAGTTAAACAAGAACAAACCACAGACTGTCTGTGTCATGGAGAATGCAGTCGCTGCTTTATTTATGTCTGTATGACGTTGTGAGTGTGGACGGAGCAGCAACAGGTTAGTTTAGCCTGATGGATCCGATTCCATTCAGAAAACACGCATTTTAAAAGCTTTTCGCCTGCCGTCTGTCTGCAGACTTGTCAAAGCATTACTTCATGGTTTTTACTAACCGTTATCAGTATGTTGTTACTTCGGCATCACTTTGAAACGTGTATTACAATTAAATCACGGTCACATTTTGTTGTAGTTGGTATCTCCCATAGGATTTACATGGAGATACGCCCCGCCCCCTCTCAGCGCCTCTTGTTTGAGTGACAGGAGCAAACACAGCTGACAGCCGCGGTGAAACTCGAGCGATTAGAGCGATGCGAATATTGGGTGGTCTACCAAAGTATTTACATGGAGATAAGCCCCTTAAAAACCATTAATTAATAAAGCATTCATTCTGTGTTTACTCCTGTCATTCAAACAAGACGCTGGAGAGGGGGCGGGCCGTATCTCCATGTAAATCCTATCGGAATCGGATCCATCAGGCTAAACTAACCTGTCGCTGCTCCGTCCACACTCACAACAACGTCATACAGACATAAATAAAGCAGCGACTGTATTCTCCATGACACAGACAGTCTGTGTTTTGTATATGTTGACATTTTGTCCAGTTTCTGAACAGATATGAGGAGCTGTGAGCTCTGAGTGTGTGCTAACAGCTAACGGCTAACGGCCAATCACGAAGCGTCATTTCTTGACTGGCAGCAAAAACAACCAATCACAGCAGTGCTTCTATGGCTGGCTCTGTCCAATCACAAACAAGAAGTGTTCTCCCTAAGGAATACCCTTTCCGTCCAATGTGAAATGCTGTGGTGTCTTGCACTTCCGGGCCACCGTACGTTTCTTCATAGGTCCACCCTGCACACTCACAAGGTGCTCACAGATCCACCCTGCACACTCACAAGGTGCTCACAGATCCACCCTGCACACTCACAAGGTGCTCACAGATCCACCCTGCACACTCACAAGGTGCTCACAGATCTACCCTGCACACTCACAAGGTGCTCACAGATCCATCCTGCACACTCACAAGGTGCTCACAGATCTACCCTGCACACTCACAAGGTGCTCACAGATCCACCCTGCACACTCACAAAGGTGCTCACAGATCCATCCTGCACACTCACAAGGTGCTCACAGATCTACCCTGCACACTCACAAGGTGCTCACAGATCCACCCTGCACACTCACAAGGTGCTCACAGATCTACCCTGCACACTCACAAGGTGCTCACAGATCCACCCTGCACACTCACAAGGTGCTCACAGATCTACCCTGCACACTCACAAGGTGCTCACAGATCCATCCTGCACACTCACAAGGTGCTCACAGATCCACCCTGCACACTCACAAGGTGCTCACAGATCCACCCTGCACACTCACAAGGTGCTCACAGATCCACCCTGCACACTCACAAGGTGCTCACAGATCCACCCTGCACACTCACAAGGTGCTCACAGATCCACCCTGCACACTCACAAGGTGCTCACAGATCCACCCTGCACACTCACAAGGTGCTCACAGATCCACCCTGCACACTCACAAGGTGCTCACAGATCCACCCTGCACACTCACAAGGTGCTCACAGATCTACCCTGCACACTCACAAGGTGCTCACAGATCCACCCTGCACACTCACAAGGTGCTCACAGATCCACCCTGCACACTCACAAGGTGCTCACAGATCCACCCTGCACACTCACAAGGTGCTCACAGATCCACCCTGCACACTCACAAGGTGCTCACAGATCCACCCTGCACACTCACAAGGTGCTCACAGATCTACCCTGCACACTCACAAGGTGCTCACAGATCCACCCTGCACACTCACAAGGTGCTCACAGATCCACCCTGCACACTCACAAGGTGCTCACAGATCCATCCTGCACACTCACAAGGTGCTCACAGATCCATCCTGCACACTCACAAGGTGCTCACAGATCCACCCTGCACACTCACAAGGTGCTCACAGATCCATCCTGCACACTCACAAGGTGCTCACAGATCCACCCTGCACACTCACAAGGTGCTCACAGATCTACCCTGCACACTCACAAGGTGCTCACAGATCCACCCTGCACACTCACAAGGTGCTCACAGATCCACCCTGCACACTCACAAGGTGCTCACAGATCCACCCTGCACACTCACAAGGTGCTCACAGATCCACCCTGCACACTCACAAGGTGCTCACAGATCTACCCTGCACACTCACAAGGTGCTCACAGATCTACCCTGCACACTCACAAGGTGCTCACAGATCCACCCTGCACACTCACAAGGTGCTCACAGATCCATCCTGCACACTCACAAGGTGCTCACAGATCCACCCTGCACACTCACAAGGTGCTCACAGATCCATCTGCACACTCACAAGGTGCTCACAGATCCACCCTGCACACTCACAAGGTGCTCACAGATCCACCCTGCACACTCACAAGGTGCTCACAGATCCACCCTGCACACTCACAAGGTGCTCACAGATCCACCCTGCACACTCACAAGGTGCTCACAGATCTACCCTGCACACTCACAAGGTGCTCACAGATCTACCCTCCACACTCACAAGGTGCTCACAGATCCACCCTGCACACTCACAAGGTGCTCACAGATCCACCCTGCACACTCACAAGGTGCTCACAGATCCATCCTGCACACTCACAAGGTGCTCACAGATCCACCCTGCACACTCACAAGGTGCTCACAGATCCATCCTGCACACTCACAAGGTGCTCACAGATCCACCCTGCACACTCACAAGGTGCTCACAGATCCACCCTGCACACTCACAAGGTGCTCACAGATCTACCCTGCACACTCACAAGGTGCTCACAGATCCACCCTGCACACTCACAAGGTGCTCACAGATCCACCCTGCACACTCACAAGGTGCTCACAGATCCACCCTGCACACTCACAAGGTGCTCACATGTTGATTCATGTGCATTGTCCCTTCTTCAATAAATACATACTAATATCCAGAAGATGCAATAGGTATAAAAGGTGGCTCAGAGTGTGCAGGGAGGAAGTGCAGAGGACACACTAGAGGCACTCCAGTGTGTCCCTGATTCTGTAGAACATCATTTAGAGACGATGAGAGGAACCGATAACAGAAGATGATGCAATACATATAAACAGGGGCTCTGCTTGTTGATGCTTTCGGCTGCAGGAGGAAGTGGAGAGCAGTGAGGAAGTGGAACCCTGATGTCTGCTTGTGTTGAGCTAACTGCTAACTGTGTTAATGTCACTGCAGATGTCGCTCGTATGAGGACTGCTGTGGGACTCGCTGCTGTGTGAGAGCTCTCTCCATCCAGAGACTATGGTACTTCTGGTGAGCTCGCCATCCAGAGAGAGTTTCTGAAGAGAGGGGACATTGTGTTCACGACGAAAAGTCCTTCCTGAGAGGCAGGGCTTTGATAAGATACATAACGACATCAAAACTGAGACTATAGTAGAGTCATAGTATAGTATGTCGGAAATATGCATACAAATGACATAGCATGCTATGCCTTATCGTTATATAGCATGCTATGCCTTATCGCTATATAGCGTGCTATGCCTTATCGCTATATAGCGTGCTATGGCCTATCGTTATATAGCATGCTATGCCTTATCGCTATATGGCGTGCTATGCCTTATCGCTATATAGCGTGCTATGTCTTATCGCTATATAGCGTGCTATGCCGCTTTATCGCTATATTGCATGATATGCCTTATCGCTATATGGCGTGCTATGCCGCTTTATCGCTATATGGCGTGCTATGCCTTATCGCTATATGGCGTGCTATGCCGCTTTATCGCTATATGGCGTGCTATGCCTTATCGTTATATAGCATGCTATGCCTTTTCGCTATATAGCGTGCTATTCCTTATCGCTATATGGCGTGCTATTCTTTATCGCTATATAGCGTGCTATTCCTTATCACTATATGGCGTGCTATGCCGCTTTATCGCTATATGGCGTGCTATGCCTTATCGCTATATGGCGTGCTATGCCGCTTTATCGCTATATGGCGTGCTATGCCTTATCGCTATATGGCGTGCTATGCCTTATCGCTATATGGCGTGATATGCCGCTTTATCGCTATATGGCGTGCTATGCCTTATCGTTATATGGCGTGCTATGCCTTATCGCTATATGGCGTGCTATGCCGCTTTATCGCTATATGGCGTGCTATGCCTTATCGCTATATGGCGTGCTATGCCGCTTTATCGCTATATGGCGTGCTATGCCGCTTTATCGCTATATGGCGTGCTATGCCTTATCGTTATATAGCATGCTATGCCTTTTCGCTATATAGCGTGCTATTCCTTATCGCTATATGGCGTGCTATTCTTTATCGCTATATAGCGTGCTATTCCTTATCGCTATATGGCGTGCTATTCTTTATCGCTATATAGCGTGCTATTCCTTATCGCTATATGGCGTGCTATGCCTTATCGCTATATTGCATGTTATGCCTTATCGCTATATATCATGCCATGTCTTATTGCTATATATCATGCTATGTCTTATCGCTATATTGCATGCTATGCCTTATCGCTATATATCATGCCATGTCTTATTGCTATATATCATGCTATGTCTTATCGCTATATAGCATGCTATGTCCGATTGCTATATATCATGCTATGTCTTATCGCTATATAGCATGCTATGCCTTATCGCTATATTGCATGCTATGCTCTATGTTTATTCAGAAAATATCAACATACTGTACTATGACTTTTTATATATATATATATATATCTATAGTCGAAATGTTATAAAAAAAACACAGGTAATATATAGTACAAAGTATATTTTGTTGAAGAAAGACATAAAGTATTCTGGGAACATAACATATCTAAAATATGATGTAAGTATGTCTAAGTCTCAGTGTGATGTGTGTGTGTTACAGTACGGTGTGTGTTACAGTACGGTGTGTATCTGTGTGTGTGTTACAGTACGGTGTGTATCTGTGTGTGTGTTACAGTATGGTGTGTGTGTGTGTGTGTGTTACAGTACGGTGTGTATCTGTGTGTGTGTTACAGTACGGTGTGTGTGTGTGTGTTACAGTACGGTGTGTATAAGTGTGTGTGTTACAGTACGGTGTGTGTGTGTGTGTGTTACAGTACGGTGTGTGTGTGTGTGTTACAGTACGGTGTGTATCTGTGTCCTCAGGGTGCTCCTGATGATGGGCGTGTTGTTCTGCTGCGGCGCAGGGTTCATCGTGCGCAGGAGGATGTACCCTTCACCTCTGAGAGACGACTTCAACGTGTCCTTCACCAGACACCCTGCCAACTCTCCTGGTACACACACACACACACACACACACACACACACACACACACACACACACACACACACACACACACACACACACAAAACACAAGCTATTAGAGTGCTGCAGGATGTGGTGTTTCTGTGTTGGTCCCCGAAGGCAGCTTCTACCTGATACTAGTTTGAATGACTTTGTATTCTGCAGGGCAGCTGGTGGATTTACTCCAGGTGGAACTAAAGGTATTAAATACATGTAGTGGAGTAGAAGTACACCATGTACCTCTGAACTGTAGTAGAAGTACACCATGTACCATGTACCTCTGAACTGTAGAGGAGTAGAAGTACACCATGTACCTCTGAACTGTAGAGGAGTAGAAGTACACCATGTACCTCTGAACTGTAGAGGAGTAGAAGTACACCATGTACCTCTGAACTGTAGTAGAAGTACACCATGTACCATGTACCTCTGAACTGTAGTGGAGTAGAAGTACACCATGTACCTCTGAAACTGTAGTGGAGTAGAAGTACACCATGTACCTCTGAACTGTAGAGGAGTAGAAGTACACCATGTAACCTCTGAACTGTAGAGGAGTAGAAGTACACCATGTACCTCTGAACTGTAGTAGAAGTACACCATGTACCATGTACCTCTGAACTGTAGTGGAGTAGAAGTACACCATGTACCTCTGAACTGTAGTAGAAGTACACCATGTACCATGTACCTCTGAACTGTAGTGGAGTAGAAGTACACCATGTACCTCTGAACTGTAGTGGAGTAGAAGTACACCATGTACCTCTGAACTGTAGAGGAGTAGAAGTACACCATGTACCTCTGAACTGTAGAGGAGTAGAAGTACACCATGTACCTCTGAACTGTAGTGGAAGTAGAAGTACACCATGTACCTCTGAACTGTAGAGGAGTAGAAGTACACCATGTACCTCTGAACTGTAGAGGAGTAGAAGTACACCATGTACCTCTGAACTGTAGAGGAGTAGAAGTACACCATGTACCTCTGAACTGTAGAGGAGTAGAAGTACACCATGTACCTCTGAACTGTAGTAGAAGTACACCATGTACCATGTACCTCTGAACTGTAGTGGAGTAGAAGTACACCATGTACCTCTGAACTGTAGTGGAGTAGAAGTACACCATGTACCTCTGAACTGTAGAGGAGTAGAAGTACACCATGTACCTCTGAACTGTAGAGGAGTAGAAGTACACCATGTACCTCTGAACTGTAGAGGAGTAGAAGTACACCATGTACCTCTGAACTGTAGTGGAAGTAGAAGTACAACCATGTACCTCTGAACTGTAGTGGAGTAGAAGTACACCATGTACCTCTGAACTGTAGTGGAGTAGAAGTACACCATGTACCTCTGAACTGTAGTGGAGTAGAAGTACACCATGTACCTCTGAACTGTAGAGGAGTAGAAGTACACCATGTACCTCTGAACTGTAGTGGAGTAGAAGTACACCATGTACCTCTGAACTACAGTGGAGTAGAAGTACACCATGTACCTCTGAACTGTAGAGGAGTAGAAGTACAACCATGTACCTCTGAACTGTAGAGGAGTAGAAGTACACCATGTACCTCTGAACTGTAGAGGAGTAGAAGTACACCATGTACCTCTGAACTGTAGTGGAAGTAGAAGTACACCATGTACCTCTGAACTGTAGAGGAGTAGAAGTACACCATGTACCTCTGAACTGTAGTGGAGTAGAAGTACACCCATGTACCTCTGAACTGTAGTGGAAGTAGAAGTACACCATGTACCTCTGAACTGTAGAGGAGTAGAAGTACACCATGTACCTCTGAACTGTAGTGGAGTAGAAGTACACCATGTACCTCTGAACTGTAGTGGAGTAGAAGTACACCATGTACCTCTGAACTGTAGAGGAGTAGAAGTACACCATGTACCTCTGAACTGTAGAGGAGTAGAAGTACACCACGTACCTCTGAACTGTAGAGGAGTAGAAGTACACCATGTACCTCTGAACTACAGTGGAGTAGAAGTACACCATGTACCTCTGAACTGTAGTGGAGTAGAAGTACACCATGTACCTCTGAACTGTAGTGGAGTAGAAGTACACCATGTACCTCTGAACTGTAGAGGAGTAGAAGTACACCATGTACCTCTGAACTGTAGTGGAGTAGAAGTACACCATGTACCTCTGAACTGTAGAGGAGTAGAAGTACACCATGTACCTCTGAACTGTAGAGGAGTAGAAGTACACCATGTACCTCTGAACTGTAGAGGAGTAGAAGTACACCATGTACCTCTGAACTGTGGTGGAGTAGAAGTACACCATGTACCTCTGAACTGTAGTGGAGTAGAAGTACACCATGTACCTCTGAACTGTAGTGGAGTACAAGTACACCATGTACCTCTGAACTGTAGTGGAGTAGAAGTATCTCATAATAGTACTTAAGGACAGTCCTTGAGTTGATGTATTTAGTAGTTACTACCTCTGAACTGTAGTGAGTAGAAGTACACTGAAGCATAAGAAGGAAATACTCAAGTAAAGTTCCTCAAGATTGTACTTACCTTACTTTACAAAACTGATAAGAACTTCATACTGGGAGACTTCGTGTGTGTGTGTGTGTGTGTGTGTGTGTGTGTGTGTGTGTGTGTGTGTGTGTGGTGTGTGTGTGTGTGTGTGTGTGTGTGTGTGTGTGTGTGTGTGTGTGTGTGTGTGTGTGTGTGTGTGTGTGTGTGTGTGTACCTGTTTAAACTGTTTATTGAAATAGTGGTACCAAAGTAAATCTGTTTCCTGTCTCCCTCCAGTCTCCCAGCAGCCGGGGGCCATGCAGGGCTTCGGGGTGAACGGGATGACCTCTGACCCAGCAGGGGGTCCCTCTGGCTCCGCCCACATGTTCCCAGCTCAGCCTGGCTCCGCCCACATGATGATGAGCGCCTACCCCCCCCCCTCCGTCATACTGCAACCACCCCCCTCCCTCATATGAACAGATATTTAACAACGCAGACAAGAAGTGACGTCTGCAGAGAAAAGAGAGATGAACTGTGAGAAAGGAAATGATCAGAGACTTTTAAAACACACACACTTCCTGTACTGAAGAAGCACACACACACACACACACCTGATCTGTATTGAATATTGAACAGATATTTCACAACGCCGACAAAAAGTGACGTCTGCAGAGAAACAAGAGATGAACTGTGAGAAAGGAAATGATCAGAGGGTTTTGTGGATGTAAGACTTTTAAAAACACACACTTCCTGTAATGAAGAAACACACACACACACACACACACACACACACACACACACACACACACACACACTAGAATGTACAAACTGTTGTTGAAAGCGTTTTGAAGACATATCCTCCCTGCACTCTTCACTACGTGATGAGTCCTGGATGCAGATTTTATCTCAGCGTCATGTCATAAAGAGCTCCAGTTCAACATGAGGAAGGACATGAGGAAGGACATGAGGAAGGACATGAGGAAGGACGCTGTTGTGCTTTTTCTTTTGTTTCTTCGTCAGATATTCTAGCATGGAGCTTGTTCATTAAAGCCTCTTGAGAAGCGTGTTTCCCACAGGGCGTTGTGTTCAGGGCCTCATTTCTAAAGGGATATACGCTCAAAGATGGCGTACGCCAGTTTCTACGCAATGTTTGCGATTTATAAAATACTAACTTGACCTAGTTAGGATGCCACCTGGGCGCCTCCCTAGGGAGGTGTTCCAGGCACGTCCAGCTGGGAAGAGACCAAGGGGTAGACCTAGGACCAGGTGGAGGGATTATATCTCTTCGCTGGCCTGGGAGCGCCTTGGGACCCCCCAGTCAGAGCTGGTTGATGTCGCCAGGGAAAAGAAAGTGTGGGGCTCTCTGCTGGAACTGCTACCCCCGCGACCCGACCACGGATAAGCGGGAGAAGATGGATGGACTAACTTGACGGCCTCAACGCAAACTCTAACCCATGCGTACGCACTAAGCACAACAACGGGAGAGACGAGAAACTGCGACCCCGTTGGCAGAAGGAAGAATGGAGAGAAATATGTGGAAATAATACCATCAATAAAATGTTACTCTCATTTATCAGATATGAAGAATTCATTTTCAAACATTGATTAAAGCAAATCTTAAAATGATTAAACAAACGCCTGTTTGAGACTCCTCAGCGCACACACAAGAGACGCACAGGCTGCAGTGGAGACGCTGCGCACAGCTGATCGACAGCTGGGACACAAACCACCAAATATGAAAACATAATTCAGATCCAGTCGTCATGACTCCACTCCGGAGGGATTCCCCGATCACTTCTTAGTCTCTCATCAAGGGGGGGTCTCCTGTCCCCGGTACAAACACACTGCCTGAGGAAGGCTGTGTGTATTTTTTTTGTCATGAACCTTCTTCGGACCACTTATTTATTTATGTTGGTGACGATCCGACCTCCATGCTGCTCCTCTGGTTCAAACTGCATCCACCAAACAATGTGATTTATCTCCACCTCCCCAAAATAACCAGAATCTGACACGGTGTGAGATGTCTGTTTGAGCTTTCTGTCGTCATCTCCTGCGATCTTCTTCATAAAGTCAGTCAGAATGAATGAATGGGCGTTACGTGAAGCCCGCAAAAGCTGCACCGCATTTCGAGTCGGTTGTGATTTATAAAGGGAAGCCGGCGTAGGAAGTGCCGTACGCACTTTCCTCGCCGGTACGCAATGTTTGGTGAATCGGAAAATGTCGGAACATTTCTGTACCTATTTTTGGGATTTCTACTACGTAAGCAACCTTCTCACGTGAATCCTACGCACGGCGTTATAAATGAGGCCCCAGATCATTAGTAAAGAACAACATTAAAGCAGAGCAAGGTCTTGAGAGGGGATGCATTGCTTTCCCTGCAGCTAACCCAGTGAGGGGTCGCAGAGGTTGCAGAGGTTGCAGAGGTTGCAGAGGTTGCAGAGGTTGTACAGGTTGCAGAGGTTGCACAGGTTGCACAGGTTGCACAGGTTGCAGAGGTTGCACAGGTTGCAGAGGTTGCACAGGTTGCACAGGTTGCACAGGTTGCACAGGTTGCAGAGGTTGCACAGGTTGCAGAGGTTGCACAGGTTGCACATGTTGCAGAGGTTGCAGAGGTTGCAGAGGTTGCAGAGGTTGTACAGGTTGCAGAGGTTGCACAGGTTGCACAGGTTGCAGAGGTTGCACAGGTTGCAGAGGTTGCACAGGTTGCACATGTTGCAGAGGTTGCAGAGGTTGTACAGGTTGCAGAGGTTGCAGAGGTTGTACAGGTTGCAGAGGTTGCACAGGTTGCACAGGTTGCACAGGTTGCACAGGTTGCAGAGGTTGCAGAGGTTGTACAGGTTGCAGAGGTTGCACAGGTTGCACAGGTTGCACAGGTTGCAGAGGTTGCAGAGGTTGCAGAGGTTGTACAGGTTGCAGAGGTTGCACAGGTTGCAGAGGTTGCACAGGTTGCACAGGTTGCAGAGGTTGCACAGGTTGCAGAGGTTACACAGGTTGCACAGGTTGCACAGGTTGCAGAGGTTGCAGAGGTTGTACAGGTTGCAGAGGTTGCACAGGTTGCAGAGGTTGCACAGGTTGCACAGGTTGCAGAGGTTGTACAGGTTGCAGAGGTTGCACAGGTTGCACAGGTTGCAGAGGTTGTACAGGTTGCAGAGGTTGCACAGGTTGCAGAGGTTGCAGAGGTTGTACAGGTTGCAGAGGTTGCACAGGTTGCAGAGGTTGCACAGGTTGCACAGGTTGCAGAGGTTGTACAGGTTGCAGAGGTTGCAGAGGTTGCACAGGTTGCACAGGTTGCAGAGGTTGTACAGGTTGCACAGGTTGCAGAGGTTGCAGAGGTTGTACAGGTTGCAGAGGTTGCACAGGTTGCAGAGGTTGCACAGGTTGCACAGGTTGCATAGGTTGTACAGGTTGCAGAGGTTGCACAGGTTGCAGAGGTTGCACAGGTTGCACAGGTTGCAGAGGTTGCAGAGGTTGTACAGGTTGCAGAGGTTGCACAGGTTGCACAGGTCGCAGAGGTTGTAGAGGTTACAGAGGTTGCACAGGTTACAGAGGTTACAGAGGTTGCAGAGGTTGCACAGGTTGCAGAGGTTGCAGAGGTTGCAGAGGTTGCACAGGTTGCACAGGTTGCACAGGTTGCAGAGGTTGCAGAGGTTGCAGAGGTCGCAGAGGTCGCACAGGTCGCAGAGGTCGCACAGGTCGCAGAGGTCGCAGAGGTCGCAGAGGTCGCACAGGTCGCAGAGGTCGCACAGGTCGCAGAGGTTGCACAGGTTGCAGAGGTTGCACAGGTTGCACAGGTTGCACAGGTCGCAGAGGTTGCACAGGTTGCAGAGGTTGCAGAGGTTGCACAGGTTGCACAGGTTGCAGAGGTTGCAGAGGTTGCACAGGTTGCAGAGGTTGCACAGGTTGCAGAGGTTGCACAGGTTGCAGAGGTTGCACAGGTTGCACAGGTTGCAGAGGTTGCACAGGTTGCAGAGGTTGCAGAGGTTGCAGAGGTCGCAGAGGTCGCACAGGTCGCAGAGGTCGCACAGGTCGCAGAGGTTGCAGAGGTTGCACAGGTTGCAGAGGTTGCAGAGGTTGCACAGGTTGCACAGGTCGCAGAGGTTGCAGAGGTTGCAGAGGTTGCAGAGGTTGCACAGGTTGCAGAGGTTGCACAGGTTGCACAGGTTGCACAGGTCGCAGAGGTTGCACAGGTCGCAGAGGTTGCAGAGGTTACACAGGTTGCAGAGGTTGCAGAGGTTGCAGAGGTTGCAGAGGTTGCAGAGGTTGCAGAGGTTGCACAGGTTGCAGAGGTTGCACAGGTTGCAGAGGTTGCAGAGGTTGCAGAGGTTGCAGAGGTTGCAGAGGTTAGACAGGTTGCAGAGGTTACACAGGTTGTAGAGGTTGCAGAGGTTGCAGAGGTTGCAGAGGTTACACAGGTTGCAGAGGTTGCAGAGGTCGCAGAGGTTGCAGAGGTTGCAGAGGTTGCACAGGTTGCAGAGGTTGCAGAGGTTACACAGGTTGCAGAGGTTGCAGAGGTTGCAGAGGTCGCAGAGGTTGCAGAGGTTGCACAGGTTGCAGAGGTTGCAGAGGTTGCACAGGTTGCAGAGGTTGCAGAGGTTGCACAGGTTGTAGAGGTTGCAGAGGTTGCACAGGTTACACAGGTTGCAGAGGTTGCAGAGGTTACACAGGTTGCACAGGTTACACAGGTTGCAGAGGTCGCAGAGGTTGCAGAGGTTACACAGGTTGCAGAGGTTGCACAGGTTGCAGAGGTCGCAGAGGTTGCAGAGGTTACACAGGTTGCAGAGGTCGCAGAGGTTACAGAGGTTACACAGGTTGCAGAGGTTGCACAGGTTGCAGAGGTCGCAGAGGTTGCAGAGGTTACACAGGTTGCACAGGTTGCAGAGGTCGCACAGGTTGCACAGGTTGCAGAGGTTGCAGAGGTTGCACAGGTTGCAGAGGTCGCACAGGTTGCACAGGTTGCAGAGGTTGCAGAGGTTACACAGGTTGCAGAGGTTGCAGAGGTTGCAGAGGTTGCACAGGTTGCAGAGGTCGCACAGGTTGCACAGGTTGCAGAGGTTGCAGAGGTTGCAGAGGTTGCAGAGGTTGCAGAGGTTGCACAGGTTGCAGAGGTTGCAGAGGTTGCACAGGTTGCAGAGGTCGCACAGGTTGCACAGGTTGCAGAGGTTGCAGAGGTTGCAGAGGTTACACAGGTTGCACAGGTTGCAGAGGTTGCACAGGTTGCAGAGGTCGCACAGGTTGCACAGGTTGCAGAGGTTGCAGAGGTTACACAGGTTGCACAGGTTGCACAGGTTGCAGAGGTTGCAGAGGTTGCACAGGTTGCACAGGTCGCAGAGGTTGCAGAGGTTGCACAGGTTGCAGAGGTTGCAGAGGTTGCAGAGGTTGCACAGGTTGCAGAGGTTGCACAGGTTGCAGAGGTTGCACAGGTTGCACAGGTTGCACAGGTTGCAGAGGTTGCAGAGGTTGCACAGGTTGCACAGGTCGCAGAGGTTGCAGAGGTTGCACAGGTTGCAGAGGTTGCAGAGGTTGCAGAGGTTGCAGAGGTTGCAGAGGTTGCACAGGTTGCACAGGTTGCACAGGTCGCAGAGGTTGCACAGGTTGCAGAGGTTGCAGAGGTTGCACAGGTTGCACAGGTTTGCACAGGTCGCAGAGGTTGCACAGGTCGCAGAGGTTGCAGAGGTTGCAGAGGTTGCAGAGGTTGTAGAGGTTGCAGAGGTTGCACAGGTTGCAGAGGTTGCACAGGTTGCAGAGGTTGCAGAGGTTGCAGAGGTTGCAGAGGTTACACAGGTTGTAGAGGTTGCAGAGGTTGCAGAGGTTACACAGGTTGCAGAGGTTGCAGAGGTCGCAGAGGTTGCAGAGGTTGCAGAGGTTACATAGGTTGCAGAGGTTGCAGAGGTTGCAGAGGTTGCACAGGTTACAGAGGTTGCAGAGGTTACACAGGTTGCACAGGTTACACAGGTTGCAGAGGTCGCAGAGGTTGCAGAGGTTGCACAGGTTGCAGAGGTTGCACAGGTTGCAGAGGTCGCAGAGGTTACACAGGTTGCAGAGGTTGCAGAGGTTGCAGAGGTCGCAGAGGTCGCAGAG